CTCCTGCGTTGTCCCTCAACCCTCCCAAGCATGATGTCCCTCTCCAAGGACCCGTCCCTCCTGGCAACATGATGTACATATTTCCATTTATTTCTATGATCTGATTACCTTGGGGTACATTCCTAGTCGTGGAATATAAATCATATAGGAATAGGGTCCTTTGGGATTTTGAGGTCAGCTTTTTGAGGAAACATCAAGCTGACATCCATAGTCATTGCACCATTTTCCACTCCCCCAGCAGTGTATATGAGTTCCAATGTCTCCACATCTTTGCCAACATTCATTGTTTGCTGTTCCATTAAATTTTGCTACTTCTGTTAGAGTGAGATAGTATCTCATTATTGTATTGATTTACATCTCTCTTATTGTTAGAGATTTTGAATGCTTTCTCATGTGTTTGTTAGTTATCTGAATGTCCTTTAACTGTAATTATAAGACTTTTTCCTGAAATATGCTTGCCAAATGTTTCATCCCAGCTTATAGGCTTTCTTTTAACTGTACTGGAGAAAGTTTTTTATTCATACAGGGATTTGACTTTAACAAGCTCCCATTCTTTGATTTTAACTTCTACTGGTTTTACATTTTGTGCAATGTTTACAAGTCTATTTATGTCAAGGATAGGACTTCTAAATTTGTCCTCATTTTATCTCTTATGATCTTTATGGACTAGGCAAATATGTCCTCTATCACTGCCCCTATTCACTATTGTATTGGAAGTTCTCGTAACACCAAAAAAGGAAGAGAAGGAAATGAGGCATCCAAATTGGCAAAGAGGTGATGAATTATCATTATATGCAGATTACATGATAGTAATGTATATGTAGAAAACCCTAAAAACTCAACAACAGCAATAACAAAAACAACCCCCCCCAAAAAAAACCTGTCAGACTTAGTAGGCCACTTTATCAAAGTGACAGTTTACAACACCAACATACAAAAATTAGTTAGATTTCTCTTGAGTAACAAAGAAAGCACAGAAGAAGAAACTAGGAAAGCAATACCATTTACAACAACCAATCCCAAGATGAAATACTTTCAGAATAAACCTCAATAGAGACACAAAAAGTTATTCACAAGGAAAAATGCAAAATACTACTTTAAAAAACAATAAGAGACCTAACTAAATGTAAAACGTGATAAAAATACCGAACATTGTGAAAATGGCAATCCTATTAAAAACAATCTACAGATTCAACATGATCCCAAAACAGGCAATAAATTTACTCTTGAAAGAGACAGAAAAGGCAATTTCTAGTATAATTTGGAAAAGAAAGTGGAAAGAATAAAGTTTTTTTGAAAACCAAAAATGAAGGAAGGGACATTTCACTCCCTGATCTGAAAACCTACTACTCAGCTGTAATAATAACAAAATGGTACTGAAACAATAACCTATCTACTTCTGGTCAAATGGTATTTATTTGATAAAGAAATGAAACCCATTAAATGGGCAAACTGCAGCTTCTTTAACAAGTGGTGCAGGAGAAATTGAACATCTACCTTCAGACAAAGGAAACAGAATCCATATCCTCCCATACACAAGGAAACAACTCAAAAGGATCAGAGACCAAGGTTAAAACCGTGAATACAATACTCTAAAGTTCCCCTTTGATGTTGGAATAAACTCTAACCATTTACTAAGTTTGTCACTTATCTAATTCTCTATCTTCATTTTCCAACCCTTGTGCCAGTCTCTCCATCTAACTTGAAAGCATATAAGATGACAATGTCATTGAAAAATATAAATTATAGCAAGAAACTAGTTTCAATGATGGTTATCCTTAACATACACTAGAGCTTTCTTTTCCTCCTGAAATGCTTTTCCAGGTTTTCACTTACTGGCTCTGTTTCCTAATGTCCCACTCAAAATCACCTTTAAAGTGATGATTCTTTCTATCTTTTCTTCTCTATTTTCTCTGTCCTGTTGTTGTTTATAGTTGCTATCGGGTACGACTCATAGTGACTCTTTGGGCACCAGATCTAAACCCCATCCTATTCCGCACCATCCTCAAACTTCCTGACACAGCCCATTGTGGCAGCCAATGTGTGAATCCACTGGTTGAGAGTCTTCCTCTCCTTAACATACTCTTCACCCTTCCAAGCATCATGTCCCTTTCCAACGAATAGCCCCTCCTAGCAACATACCTGAAATATGAGAGCTTTAACGTCCTTATACTACAATGATGTGAGATATTTTTTCATGTGTACATTTTCTTGTTTATTATGCTTCTCTTTCCATATCACCGTGATTTGGGTTTTTTACACTCTTGTTTAGCTCTCTGTAGACAGAACTTGACACCATTTGTAAAAAATATTTGATGAGCAAATAAATATATGCTGAATGAATAAATGAAACATACAATTTCTACATATTAAGATATACTTTTAAAAAGCAATGGCATTCGTTCAGATGCACAAATTAGAAATAAATTTAAGCATTTTTTCTCTATATTTTTTAGTACTCTTCCTCCCAAGCTCACCACCCGTTTCTATATTTTATATTCTTTCATATACTTTGGACATGTTGGCAGGAGGTGCCAGTCCTTGGAAAATGATATCATGCTGGGAAGGGTGGAGGGTCAGCAAAAGAGAGAAAGACCTTCAAGAAGGTGGATGTACATAGTAACAAGGCTTGAGCCTGGCAGAAATCATGAGATTGGCACAGGATAGAGCAAGGTCTACCTGTTGCTTACACGGTCATTATAGTGGTTGTTGACTCAATGTTTCATAATAATTACATACTCTCTATACCATTATCATTTCTTTTTATTATTTTTATTGTTAAACTATTTCTTATTATTGCAATTGTCTTCCAGTCACTTTCATACTTTAACTTTCTAGATTATAATCCTGTGTATAAATTTGCTAGACTGAATAGTTCCTAAAGGAAATCATTTGAATTGCAAAAACAGCCTCTTTAAAGTTTTCATTGGGCACGCATGCCTCTCAGTAGCACTCAAAATCTACAACTCCTCTTATATAATTTGTACATTTCACGTTCCTCCCTTATTTCATTTGTGTACCAAGTGTTTCAATTAATTTTACTTTGCTTCTAACAAACTCTGTGGTTTTTAACATTTTGAATTGTAGCCTTTCCTTAGCCTAAAATATCATCTTCATTAATATACTTATCTGTAAATATCATATCTGACTATCTGTGTTCATCTATATCATGCCAGATCTAGTTAATGTGTAACCTCTTTCATGTAAACTTCTCTGGCTTCAGTAGCAGTTATTTTGCTGGCGTTTGTAGTTTACTTAATATGAAATAGTAAGCATCTTCTTACAGAGGATATGATCACTCATTCACTCATTGTTGTAGAGTCAGACCAAATCCTAACTGACCTTGCAGCAGGTTTTTTTGAGGCAATAAACACATTGGAAGATATTATTTATCTTCCTCTCACTGAGCTACTGTTGGATTCAAACCATCATAGAGGCTCAGGCTCTGGGTTAACAGAATTATTCTAAATGGACTATGTGCTACAAGAGTTCCCTTAAGGTGATAGTCATATCTAAAAGTAGTTTTCCTAGTACCTACTACCTTCTATGGTAGTATCTGCACTTCTTAGAATTTAATCATGAGGACTAGCCTTTTGATTATACAATATATTGGTAATATTTTTATTAAATATTTATTAACACTTATTTGATGACTTGGTACTATAAAATATCAAGACTAGTCTTAAGTTTAAAATATTGAGACTAGTCTTTAATCTTAAGCTTGAAGAGGAATGAATACTACAACAGACGGTGGTGCGAGATACTTTTACATATGAATATCATATTAAGAGAACTCTGGTAGAATATCCCATATTGGGATTCTGTTGGCCTAGTGAGTAAGGAGTTCCTATGCTCATTGAAACTTAAGTGGTTCACATCCACCAGCCATTCCATGAGAGAGTAATCTCATCCTGTATCATTTATAGCTTCTGAAAATTCACTGGACAGTCAGCTATGAATTTGTTTCAATTTGATAGAAATTAACAACACAATAACAACGTATCTGTAATAATCTAGAGGGTCCACTAAACATTTTACTTTTAAAAGTATACTTCTTCTTTCTACCTTTGAACATGCCAGTCTCCTAGTTCCTCAGAATATTTTTTCTTCTTATTCTACCTGATCTTATTCTCACACCTCTATGTTCTCCATAAAGTCCTCTTCAACTGTTGCCAATCACATTTATTTCCAACTCTTTGTGAAGAGTATAAATTTAGCATCTATTCCAACAATATGGTATCAAGTTGTCTACCAGAAGCATGAATTCTTGTTGTTCTTGAGAATATCTTTCATGTGTCATTAAATTTTTACTTATTTATCGTCCATATCTAATGTAATAGTGAAATTTATCTAACATGACCCCCCCAATTACTGATTTAATGTGATTTTGCATCATTGACTAAATTTCATCAACAGAGTACTCTTGTATTTGAGAAGGGTCATTCTAATTTATCCTGTACTATTATACAACAAATAAAAGATTTTTAGAGTTCCTTGTATAACCAATCTTTCAAGAAAATAACAAATTAAATTTTCTGTTTTTATTAATTGTCATCAATAATTATAATTTTTTCCAGGTCCTCGTGGACCCCCAGGTGAAAAAGGAGATAGAGGTCTCACAGGACAAATTGGCCCACCAGGCGCACCTGGTTCGAGGGGTATGTATTAGTAACGGATTGAAGAAAAAGACAAAGATAGTATGCATTTGTGTGCATGTATAGGTGAAAATAGCTAGTGTGTGTGTGTGTGTGTGTGTGTGTGTATCTGGAAGCAGGAGCGGCATCCACTTCTTAAACAACATGCCTCTGGAAACTATGAACTTTGATAAATGTCAATAGTTATAGAGGAGCTTCATAGGGTCACTATGAGTTGTGCTCAACTTGAAGGCAATCAGCAATAAAAAAATATATGTCATTATATATATGTGTGGGTTTGGACAACATTAAATATTTTTGTGGTCTAACTAGACAACATTTAACAGCTGGTAAATTAGACTAGTGCTGTTATATTTGGAGAAATAGTCTTCCACTTTGCACATCACTCTTTGTCAATGTGCTGGGTTTGCTATGATGCTGAGTCTTGTGCCATGAGAATATCAAATACCATAATTGTTTTCCATTGTGGACAGTGTTTGGTGGAGCTTCCAGTTGCAAAACAGGTTGGGAAGCAGGAGTGGCACTGCCTTCCTAAACCGCATGCCTCTGGAAACTGTGAACTTGGAGAAACCGATAGCTATGAAAAGACATTAGGTCCATAGAGTCACTATGAGTGGACCTCGACTCAAGGGCAATCAACAACAGCAACAATCATTGTTTTGTTTGCAATACTAAAAACCAACTCGTGATGTTTAAACAAACATAAATGTTTTAACTATAGTCATCACATAGAGTTTTGCGTAACATTAGAGGTATCATTCATGTCATAGATTACATAGCAGCATATAGTCCACCTACCTAGGGAATTTTAGGGGCCTAGGAATAAGGAGCTATATATATATACCTCCAATCCAAAGCTTTGTGGTTCAAATCCAGTAGCTTCTCTGCAGGAGAAAGATAAGCAATCTCTACTCAAGCAATTTACAGCTTCTGAAAGCCTGTTGGAGAGTTAATTATTAAATGAATCTGTACATAACAACAATATAGGCAAATAGCTTTAGATTACATCCAAAGAAGAATAGAAAAATCTCCTTGTCACAGAATATAGTGTTATAGTATCTCATTTTTAAAATACGAAGAAAATTATTAGTATAAATTAAAGGTAAATTTAGTTCTATTTCATATATAGTCATTGGAATATACGTGGTTAAACCAATGAAGTCTAAATGTGAATGCTGGATAGAATACATATGAATTTTACCTTTGCTGTCAGCCTTTCTATATTTTACTCAGAGCAAAATTGCTTCATGGTATTTTTCTCCATGTTATAAACTTGAAAGCAATATTTTAAAAGAAAATAATAAAAGACACAGAAAAGGAGACCATAAACTTTCTTTACTCTTAAAATAATAAAGAAGACAATACCAGTAGCATAATTGTTATGCTACTCCCGGCTGACATCAAACACTCCCCTTACTCTTTGAAAGTGGAGTGCATATTTCATGGCCTAAGAAGAACTAGAAAGGCTCATGCTGACCTCTCCCCACAAAAAGTCCCATTTTTCATGGGCTATACCTTTTCCCCCCTTTATAGCATTTTGTTTATATAAAATGTTTTCTTTTCAAATCAATAAATTGATCACCTGACGTTACATCTGAAGAACATTTTTTTAAATAAAAAAACTAAAAAAAAAAAAACAACTTAATTTGACACCTCCTTGACCTTTACATCATTGTTCTAAGAGAGTTAATATATGACATTTACACTGAAAAAAGAAACACACAGAATACACACATCACAAATCTCTTGAGTGGATGTACCTTTGAACATATCGTCAGGTAAAAATTTGTATTCGGAAAAGTCTTAAAAAAGAATTACAGGGGAAGTAAATTGAACTTAGATTATCTAGGGGTCATTTGGTTTAGGACACTTGAGCACATGTTTTCCAGTTACTACTCATCAGTCTTACTGGAGTATTTCCTGTTAAGTTGTTGTGTTCTATTCCATTCTGTGCTGAATTGTAGCTTTGCTGACACAGTAGTTAAGCACTCAGCTGGTAACCCAAAGGTCATGGGTCTGTTTCCACGAAGATTACAACCTTGGAAATCCTATGGGCAGTTCTATCTGTCCTATAGGGTCCCTATGAGTTGTAATTGACTAAATCTATACAGAGATTTTTAATGGGTTATATGCGATATATTGTTGGTACTGCAATTGAGAAAAAAATAAAGTATAAATTATGGAACAAACACAAAAGTACGAAACTCATTGCTATTTATTCAATTGTATCTCATGGAGACTCCACATATAACAGAATAGAAATAACGAAAGTTTAGAGAAACTTTGAAGTTTTCATTCATTCATTTTGGCACATTTTCCTCCCTAGCCCCCCACCTCCATTAGCTTAAAAAAATCATTCATTGTTGCATGAAAGAGTAGAAATATTTTACAGAGCTTTTTGGCTATAATTTTTATGGGAGCAAACCATTCATAGGATAAAAAGTCACAGTAATTCTCCTTTATTAATCTTATTGAATTCTCACCTATACGTCCAATTGGCCTCACTAATCTCATAGTAACAAAATAAACCTCATGTAAACTTACACTATAGTATGGAAATATGAGAAACTTAAGTGTCTGTCCTAGTAGAACTAAATAATAACTACTTCAAATATATTAACTATTAGCTATGTGCTATATGCAATATCTCAAAATAATACAGCAAAAACTCCTTTTAGAATGTTCTTTCCCTAAAAGATGAGCAGAGCCTAAGACCTAGCATCTTTCCCTTGAAAAATATTCACTGAACACTTTCTTGTGCCTGGAACTCTACAAGACACTGCAGAATATGCACAGAGACAGAGTACTGCCAAATACAGGCTTACAATATAATAAGTAATTACAGAAGTGCTGTGATCACTGTGAACTAGGGTGTTAGGTGAGGCCCTCCATTGAGATTCCTTTGGAACCTCTTCAACCCAAATAGGAACATATCTGTAGGTGATCTAAGGAACTTTCTCTGCCAAGTAGGAGATCAATAAGGGGATCAGCTGACCTAGAGGCACAGGAAGTACTGTGTCCTATGGCTGCAAAACTTTCATTATGTTAGTTTTTCATAATTAATGACTACAAACTTGGTGGCTTAACAGCAACAGAAATTCATTCTCTCACAGTTCTAGAATCCTGCAGTTCAAAATAAAAATGTTGGCAACTCTATACCATGCTTTCACAAATAGCTTCAGAGAAAATCCTTCTTTATCTTTTCCATACATTTAAATCCATACATTTCTCTGTCCCATTCAACTTACTACTACTACATTCTTTTTGCTCAGAAAGACCTCTTCTTCAACAAGTGGCAAAACAAACAAAAACAAAGACAGTGTTCCCTAAAGTTATATCTGGCTAGAGAAAATTGCTGTCTTTAAGATTCTGTTCTTGCCTTGAAATGAGTTTCATCTGGAGGCAGCAAACAATGTCAAAAACAGATTGCTATTTTTCTTTCTTTATGAATCCAAAAATATCATTATTAGCTATGCATACATAATTTTTTTCATTTTTTAAAAATTTTAATAATTTTAATGAACATTTACAGAGACTTTGGAATTTTATTCATTCATTGCTGTACTTCTCTCCCTGACCAGCCCTCCTCACCCCCCATCCCAGTTCGCTCCTCTCTTTGAAAAGTAAAAGAAAACCTCCCTCCCTGGCACGCAATCCCCCGCACCCCTCCCACCACCCCAAGTACATTCCACTATGCAACCTTAATTGTGGACTCTTGTGATAACCATAAGACCCTATCATATATCGCGTTTAAATTATTCATCATCAACAGCATACATACACCAATTTTTTTTTAAAAAATTCTAATGTGGCACAAAAGGTTAGTCAAGTAATTATTGATATCATTTATAATCAACACCTGACACTTAACCAGGATTTTTAGTGTTCCATTCGCTATTTATTCATTATGCATCGTACTTAATGGCACCTAACAACATGTACTATTCACAAATTTTCCATTTATAATGGAAGTACAAGTGATAGCATTTATTTTGCCTGATTTATCAGGAGGTTAAGTGACTTTCCAAGGACAGTCAGTAGTTGGTAGGTAGCAGAGCCAGTATTTTAATCCAAACAGTATAACTTCAGAGTTCATGCTCGTAGTCAACATGCTAGACTATAGAAAGAAGATCGGACTGAGAGCTGAGACTTGGGCTATGTAAAGAATTAGCCAACAACCTTTATAGTAGTGATATATTCTCCTCAGTCTTCTGTTATTGTGTCTGAAAAATAATTGATTTATGTAGCATGATGGCTAAGATTATTCCATGATTGAGAGTCTATTCCATGATTAAGAGTCTAAGGAATATTCTTGCTATGGTAAACAAGTTAGTAGCAGAAGTTGGACCTTTCTTTATGACTCAGATAGTTATACAAAATTATGACTTCAATGACTCAGAGAACCTGGCCTCCTACAATGAAATCCAACACTGATGCTTATAATAAAAAAAATCTACATTTTCAAATATTAATATAAGTCATTAAGTTCTATGTATCATATAAAAGTTCATTTAATTGTTTTTCTGTATTGATTAGAAGTCTAATAATTAACTAAATTCTATGAACACATGCATTAGTAATGTGATTATTTATTCAGCAATATGTAACATGTTTCAGAAAATATTCGGAGTGTTACCACAATGTACTCAAAGATCCATGATCAGAGAGGCCATTTCTAATCCCATAGAATTCCATTCCATACACATTTACAAATTGAGAGAGAATTGCCAGAAGTTCAAACTGGTTTTAGAAGAGGATGTGGCACCAGGGATATCATTATTGATTTCAAATGGATCTGGACTAAAATCAGAGAATACCAGAAGAATGTCTGCTTGTGTTTTGTTAACTATGCAAAGATATTTGACTGTGTGGATCATAGTGAACTTTGGCTACCATTGAGAAGAATGGGAATCCTAGAACAATTAATTGTTCTCATGCAAAACCTGTATCTAGACAAAGAAGCTGTCATCCAAAGTGAACAAGGGAATATTACATGGCTAAAA